TCTACCAACCAAGTTCGCGTATCTGGCAGAGTCTTCGTACTCACTTCCCTCAAGAGCGAACCTCAGCACAGATGAGTGGGCTTCAATCCTGCTTTCTTACAGCAAGGCTTCACACGCAGTATTTATCCTGCAGGTCCCCCTCATCGGTGTGTGTTTCCTGGCATGTATGTTCGTGCGTGACAGAGGTCTGGAAAGGCCAAAGGAGCCGGAAGAGATTGAAGAGGAAAAGCGAAAAGCCCAAGAGGAAAGAGATACCGAGGCGGCTACTTCTGAATACCCCGAAGAGTTTGTCGACCCTCAGACCCACCACCAAGCCGAGAAGCGTCATTCTGTGTCCACAATTGCCGAATCATGGATGCCACCTTCTCGGCCAGAACCTAATACTGAAGGACACGGAGAGGAGAAACAGCAACAGCACCGAGGCATGTAGAGAGTTGAAAATGATGAAGGCCCGTTCATTTTGCTTTGACTTTGGCTAAATCTGCATTTGCATTTGCTGCATGGGGGCGTCCGATACCCAAAAGGTAATATATCTTGCGATAGATTAATCTAATACACTACTTGATGCTCATGATTTCCAGGGATATAGAGTATTCTCAATGAAAATTGTAGGTAGAAGCTGTTCATAATTTTCCAAGCTCTGCTTTCATGGAGGGCTAGCTCCAGATGACTTACCACCTTTAAAATATCTCTTTGAACACAAGTATCCGAATCGTAAAAAAGAATGAAGTAAAATATCTAATATCGTAGGTGCTTTGTAAACTATAGGCTACGTTAGTGTTAGTAGATGCTATGTCTTGGCATTCCGGTCTAACCTTATCTCCGACCTCTTTCAATCTCACCTTGGCATGGCACTTCATCAGCGTCTTGATGTGCCAAATTGAGGTTGATATTCTCCAATATGTATGCACTCGGGCAGAGTCGCGAGTCATCAAGGCAGACAACTCCCGCATCGCGAGACCATAACCCACGGAAACGCGGGAGGACCGCATGCACTCGTTGCAAGACACGGAAGCAGAAGGTGCATCAGATCTACTCAATAGCATATCTGCGAATATGTTGACTCATAGTTATTTAGTGTGACAATGAACATCCGACCTGTTCCAACTGCTTGAAGGCGGGGGTCTCGTGCGACAAGTCTAATGTCCGAGAGGATAAAGACCCCCAGAATGAGTAAGGCCAAAATATATGAAGTACCCGGAAAAAGCTAAATTGGATGTTAGTTACACTCGTGGCTTAGAGGAACGTGTACTATTCCTTGAGCGTAAACTTGCAGAGTCTGATCGATCATTAGACCGAAATGCTGCTGCCACAAATACTGCGTCTTCGCTGTTCTCCCCACAAGTTGGGCACACAACACCACGCACAACTACTTCGGGATTTGACAATAATCCTGTCGGAGAGATCGTGGGACTTCTTGCCCTGAGCGCTTCCGAGGCCCCTGCATACGTAGGATCCAGTTCTGGTCTTTCTCTCGCTGCCGACCTGGGAGAGATGGTCCAAACGAGTGTATGGAACCAATTCATCTCAAGAATGCAACAGAAAACTGGTACCGCCAATAGTTCTCAGAACAAGGCAACTCAAATACATGGGCCTTCGATGCAGCCCAGCGCAACTCAAGTTCGAGATCGGGCAACGAGGATGGAAGATCTCTTGCCAGCGAATGTTGAGCCCCCAACAGATGAGATGGGGGCACGAATACTCGAAACATATTTCACACGACTTCATTCTCGATATCCATTCCTTAATCGGAAACAAGTATGGCAGATCCATGCAGATCGATGGCGATTGGCGAAGACCAAACGTGAGGACCTTACTCCTTCTGATCGATTTGCTAGCTTTAAACTCAACCTGGTCTATGCAATCGGCGCAACAATGCTTCGCGTGAGTGAAAAATATGCATACACGACTCCTGAGGTAATCATATCCGCGAACGCTAGATTGGTCATCGCTCACAAGTTTTAGCGATTTTATACTGCCGCATTGCAGCATGTACCGACAATGTGTGAAGCACGATCCATTGATAATATCGAGGCCATGGTTCTTCTTGTCGTGTATCACCTCCGAACTGCTTCCAGTCACGGCATGTGGTACATGATTGGACTTGCTATGCGTACTGCTATCGATATAGGTCTTCACCGAAAGGCAAATGAAAGCAACATGGACCCATTTACCACTCAAATGCGACGAAGACTATTTTGGACTGTGTACTATTTGGAGCGGGTGGTATCGATGTCCCTCGGTCGCCCGTTCAGTATATCCGATCGTCACATCGATCTTGACCTTCCATTAGAAGTGGATGATGACATTGAAGATCCCACGCTACTCACAGCACCCCTAGATCCAAACAAAACCACAACATTGACATTCGCAAATTACCTCTTCAAACTTCGTCGCATCGACTCCCGCATCCAGCATAAAATCTACCGCGCCGACCGCCCCCTATCTTCCCTCCGACCAAAAATGGACCCTCTATATCTTGAACTGGAACAATGGAAAGAATCTGCCCTATTGCGATTTAGCGGTCCAGATCTTGACTACCCAATGCTACATTTCAACCGAGCCGTCCGACTACTAATCCAGCCATTCCTCCCCCTCCTCCCGATCACAGACCCATACTACCAAATCTGCATCCTGGCAGCAGGAAACATATGCCAATCCCACAAACGCCTGCACCAAACTCTGGAGTACGGCCACTCCTTCCTAGCCGTGCAAACAGTCTTTATGGCCGGGATTACCCTCCTCTACGCATTATGGACACACACAGACCAAGTCTGGTCCGTCCGCATGAGCAACGACATCCGCGCTTGCTCGACAGTCCTCTTCGTAATGGGCGAGCGCGCAGCATGGGTCAAGAAATACCGTGATGCCTTCGAGCTGCTGGTCAACGCCGCCATGGAGAAACTACAGGGCAATGAGACTGCGCGCAATGCTGGAATGGCAGAGCTGATGACGGCCCAGTATGGCATTAATTGGAATCCTACTACTGCTCCCGGCCTGTCCGGGAGTGATAAATATCCCCCAGTCAACCCGACGGGATTGGCTCCTGATACTACCGGTGCTACGCCCCAGCCGCAGGGTTGTCCGGACGATGATTCAGAGCATGCGGTTAGAATGGCGTTGCAGCTGGCGCCATGGATAGATCAGGATGAGAATGATCCTCTATGGGTGCCAGACTTTGGGACTTTGGAGAGCCTGTCTGGGTCCTTTTGGAGTCATGATGATACGAAAATTTTCGATCCTATGTGAGGTCCTTCCGACCTTTTGATTGTACATACATGCGAGAGATGGAAGATGATGCCCGTTGGCTGTGATATAATATGACAGACTGCATATTCTGAGTTTTTCCTCATCATGGGGAGTTCCCATGGCTATTTCACGGCACTTTGAAAAGAGAACGCATACTACTCGGTAAAATGTGAGCCTCCCACCAATCTCTCTCTTTCTGTGTTTGTTTCTGATGAGGTAATTGGGACCTCGGTTTCAACATAGGACATGTCTGCATATATTCAGCAGACTCGTCAAGCTAAGTCATGCTTGCTCGGGGTTGGTTGCGTCGACTTTTGGACCTCAGGTCGGATGACATTCATGCGAAGTAGCCAACTAGCGTCAGTCTGGTCTAGTGGCCCGCGTTGTATGTTTTCAAATAAAAACTCCCGTTCATGGTATCTTCAAGGGGGTATATCCGTGAACCAGCTTGCAAGATCAGGCAAATCAAATCTCCCAAGGAATCCAAACTCTTCCTGGCCCAACCCCATATCATCCCAAGTTGTAAAAGGATTGATATCCATATTATTGGCTTCGTGACGGAGGGTGGGTTCGTCTGATATCGGCTCGGTAGGCTGCGATGACAAGTCGGGTCGATTTAGTTGTTGATTGGCCCTTTGGTGCAGCTGCGTAGAAATCAACGAAACATCATCAGGCCGAGAAGTAGCTGTACAAGAGTTAGCTTATACACAATGAAGACCCATTACCAACAACGAACATGAGTAATTTTGCATAATATGTTGGTGCGTCAGTTGCAAGAACTGCAATGAGTTGCGGGCAGAGACACTGAACATAGCCATAAAAGCTAATATCTCTTCGCACTTGCGCCAACTCTCGTCCACAATTTGTGAATCAACCTGCTCTCGGATAGAATGACATGAGTATGACATTATCAGTATGAACCCTGCAGTCGATGTGTCTAGCACATGTTAGTCGATGAGTATGAATAAATAACGAGCGGAATCGAATACGAACAGAATCCATTATACCACCATGCATCAGTTACACTTGTTCGATATGTCTTATGAACAAGTGAGACCAGGTCTATGGCGGCCATGACGCAAGAGGCGGCACATTTTGAGAAGACTGAGGAGTAGATTATATTTTTCTCGCCGGGTTGGGTATCAGAGCAGCGTGATGGCCCTGATCGCTCATCGGAGCAGAGTTGAGTAAACATGGGGCGATATAACAGGAGGCGAAGGTGGATGAATCTATTTTTTTTTCTTTGGGTTAGATAATGCAACTTAATGGAGGTCCAGAAAGAGAAGCTACCTCGCACGCAGCACATTCTGCTGGCGCTTGAAGATTGACGAAGCACCTCCGCTTGAGTGATGCAGTGATACTTCATCTGTCCAATTCAGGAGCCGTGGCACGTTAGCCTCATAGGTAGCAAGCTTATCGTCGAGTTCCATCAATACATCCAGGCTACAAAGTTTGGAGTTTTGTAGCGAACTGGCACGAGTGTTATTCGATCGACTCTGCCAAGCATTATAGACCTCGGATAGAATAGATTCGAGAATTTTGTATAACTCAATGGTTGAAACGTAGAACGTCATATATCCCAGTTTATGATCACAGGGTTGTCCACTAAGCTCGCAAGGATCAGCTTCTTGGGAGTCCGTTCCCATTGCAGGCAGAGGTAACGGTGAGATATGGCAAGTCATGCTTGGTCTTCCGTGTGTCATGCTTACAATCCTATTTTTATCAGTGAGCTATGTCTTCTCGAGGGGAATTTAGAAAAGCGATTGCACCAACATGTCCATAATGACGCAGCTATACCACGTACGCCTTCGTATTTCTGTCTCCAGAGGTTTGTTCGAGGCGTGCGTGGTTGTCTCGTGCAACCCGAGTCCTTGGGCAACTCGACATGCCAGTCCGATTGCATTCCAGCACCGAATCGGATAAGGGGTGCTTTGGAGAAGAAGTGAAACAATCAGAAGCGTTTGAACTACGCCGATTGTGCCTATATCCAGAAGGTCAAGATTGACAAATCGCTTTGCTCGAAGGAAAAATGAGTAAACCGCGGCCTCCCGGTCCGCAGGCTGAATATCAGAGAAATAACAGCCAAGGGCAAAGATGCAATTGAGTGCGCAATGGAAGACAATTGAATTAGGACCGCAATCAAATGCGCCTCCAAGCCCAATATTAAGCTGTGGCAACTCAGGCTTGGTTGCTTTGTCCGACCCCCAGAGATTTTCATACGCTTGCTCAAAACTGGGGCGATGGAAAAATGGGAACAGACAATGTACTCTGTCCCAGTAACACTCAAGAAGGTGGTCTGCTAGAGATCGAGGCGGCAAGGAGAAGTCGTCGAACCGAAGATCTACCGAGGGATGGCCTAGATCTCGCCAAATCTCCGTATCAGGGCCCTGGGATCTTGACGATTCACCCTTGCTGCCCCGCAAAGCTGACATGTACGACTGCAAAGGCATCGACTCTCCTGCAAGACGCATAAAAGAGGCCACTGAAGAGTTTCCATAGTATTGCTGCTCCTGTGGGGAGTCCGTGCTTGGGTCGTCTTCTGCGACAGATATTGCACCCATGGCGGTGACATTACCGTGGGAGTTGAGAGATGGTGAAGGATAGATACTGCCTGCTCGTGGGTGGGCAGATTCAGGGGACAGATGTGTGACACGTGGAGATCTGTAGTGTTCAGATTCCGGCCAATTTCTCTGCGTGGGAAATCTTGGCGGCTGAAAAGCAGGTGTTGAAGATAGGGGAGTTGATCCAGATGGTACAGGGGTGGAACCCAGTCCTAGTAATCCTTCTGCAGCAACAGATGTCCTAGATTCTGCGTCCAGATGATCTAGACCCATAGCTCCACCGATATGACTTTGACTTCCAGATACCCTGGAGTCTTCATGTTGTGAAGGCCCAGGTGGCACAGCAACTCCACCTTTCGCACATATCTCTTCAAGCTCTCGAATTCGATTATGGAGAATCTTCAGGTATTCATCATTACTAGCAGATCTCGCATTATCCAGCTTGTATACACATTGGCCAACGGTATACGAGCGTCGAGTGCATGGGCCACAAATTGGCTTTATACCATCGCACCTGACCTTCTTATCCCGACATGACTCGCAGGCCAAGGCAATCTTGCGACGCCGGGGCTCCCGTTTAGCGATTCCACCCTTAGGAGGCATTTGACAGCGCTTGGTCCTATAAGCCACACTAAGGGTACATGTGGCCCACAGTATTTGCTGTACTATTTGGTGGTCCGGATGGTGACCGAAAGCAAGGGGGAAAGGGAAGTGGAACAACCCCGGACTTTGTTTCACTTGCTTATGTCCCGGAACGTACCCGGATAGTCACGTGCTACATTGACTGCGAATCAACTCCAAATGAAAGAAAAGGAGAAGTGTATTTCCTGTATTTCCCTTTTTTGGTCTTAAGATCAGGCCAATGAAGAGTTCTGAATGCGCTAATTAGGGTGTATGGTCCGATTAATTAGAACATCATACGTGGGGCCCCAGGATCCCGGGATGCACCCGGGATGCACCCGGAATGTTTCTATAGAGGGAATACTTTAGCCATTTGACACCATAGACAGGCAGAGGAGGCTATTGTGGTGTAGGGTTGTCCAGAGTACTAAAAAAATACTTTTATATTACTCTGACCTTGAATCAAATGGGCTGTATATCTATATTTTGGGATGTGCATGCTGCGGATCCGCAAAGACTGTCCCGGGTGCATTCCGGAATTGACGTAGGGAACCCTGCTGCCTCATTAGTTAAGGGTTTCAAATTATAGAATAAAGCCAACATTCCCCCTTTTATCCAAAATCCATACTGTTCCATATAGTTATCCACCAAGGATATCAGAAAGCACGACTCCCCCACCTGAGCAACCTAAAATCCAAAGTATTTCACTTGGATATCACCTTGTACCTGAGTATCTTTCTGTCAAGCAGCCTCATATAGGTTGATATTTCCCACCCCAAATGGAGTACGACAACCAGACACTTCAAATGGGTCATAATACCCCCTCACACTACTGTCCTTGGCAAGTCGAACCTCAACCAGCCTCTCGATACCAAGGGCCCGCCGAAGAAGGTCTGCAGTGGGGTTCTGATCCTAGCTTTTGCTATCACGGTTACTCTAGCCCAATCGGCACCTGGACAGAAGAGCGGCTCGTGCAGAACCTGATGCGAAACATGGCCAATTTCTGTGCCAATATGAATATTGGCTGCGATGTACCCGAAAGCATAGACAGCCCACCTCAGAAGCCTATACTGGATGCACTACGACTGAATGGGCTCACACTTCCCATTCCTCAGCCCTTCATGATCCCACAAAATGAAAGACTCTCCGAATCGCCATCCTCGCCATCTTCATCCTCATCGAGCCAAGGCCAAACGTTCTCTTCAGACGATAATGAATGCTCACAACGGCCAAGCTGCATCAGAGCTAGGACTCAATCTAGGCAAAAGAAGAGAAAATGTGTGCAAGGTCCAGGACAAAAGTTGTGCCACTGTCGATCGGAAAAGAAGAGGAGAGAGCTCATTGCAGACCGATATGAAGAACTCTCTCGCATCGTGCCAAGGCTTAAGAAACAAACATACACAAGGAAATACGTTCTCGCGGAGGCTGCAATGTGGATTCAAAGTTTGGTCCAGGGCAACGACACCCTACGTGAACAATCAGAGCAGTTGAAGGAACAGGAAAAGTCGAGTCAGTTGCAGTGAATTCCTATTCAGGATGAAAAAAAGCGGGCTGCTAGTTATAGCATCGTCTATATCTATAACATATGGCAATGAGATGTAATGTACAATGATAATATCATATTCCCCAAGCGTTAGGAGAATATCTAGCATAAGCTGGCCTAGCGTTTAAGATGAAAATGCAAAATCGATTTGGGTCCTGTCTGCTTCCAATCATATTAAATTAAGCTATACATCGAGAGTCACTATTTTCCCATACAGCTCTAGTCCTCACACAATACACAGTTGTAATCTTCCAGTCTATCTCTAAGGAACCATCACGCCAAACAAATAAAAGTATGTATACACGCAAAAGCATCTACCAAGGGGGCGCAATGGTCTTGACACCCTTACCCAATCTCTGAACCTGCGCAGCATAGTATGTCTACCAAACCGTTAGCAAAGCGCTGAAACCACACAGGAAAAGAGAACCTACACTCTCAGCCCCAGCCCCAATAAGATGCAACGGCAAGAAGCGTGTATACCACGGAACAGGTGCCTTATTCAATGGCAGCTGCGCCTTATCATCACCAACACTCTCATCAAGCAAGAGACGTGGGAACTTGGGATCAATAGCCGCAGGCCGTCCAATGCCAACAAGATCACAAGCATCATCCCTAATAGCAGCCTCGGCGCCAGCCCGCGTGCGGAACCCACCAGTCAACATAAGAACGAGTTCAGGATGGCGCTGCCGTACCTCCTTTGAGAACTCAAGGAAGAAGGCCTCGCGCGCTGCGGTGCGCGAGGATTTCGGTGCTGCCGCATTGGCTTTGCCGTAGCCCACCATTTTCGGGTCTTCGTAGGTGCCGCCTGAGATTTCCATGAAGTCGATACCGGCTTCAGCTAGGAGTGAAATTTGCGTCATTGTTTCTTCGAAGGTCGCCGAGCTGTGATCGGCGGAGTTTAGCTTGATGCCAATTGCGAAGGTTGAGGGTACGACTTTGCGCGTTTGGGAGAGGATCTCTAGGATGAAGCGGGCACGCTTTTCGGGTGTGCCACCGTATGCGTCTGTGCGGTGGTTTGTCTAGGGTTAGAGTTAGTATTTACGTTGATAATGGTGTTGTGGTTTGGGCTCGGGTTGTAGGGGAACTAAGAGTGTCATACCTTGCTGTTGAGGAATTGATCTAGCCCAGACAAACCATTAGCATGACGATTATCGAGCCAGGCATTGAAAAAAAAAAAAAGCTTACCAACCAGATATCCATGCGCGCCATGCAGCTCAATACCCGAAAACCCAGCATCCGCCATTAGCCTCGCGGTATCAACAAACTGACGAATAACTCTCTCGATATCCTGGGTGGTCATTTCCTTGGGTTTAGACCAAACCAGACACCCAATCAGGCTCTCGAGGTAACTATCTCCAACCTTCATGGGCACGGCACTGGGCGCGAGCGTCTGCGCGAACATGCCGCGGTGGCCTGCGACGCGGAAGGACTGCCGACCTGGGTGGCAGATCTGGGCTATGGCTGGCGTACCATGCTTTTGGCAGGCATCGGCATATTTCTTCCATTGCTCCACTAAGGCGCTGTTTGTTTTGCTGTCTGTGTATTCATTGTGCAGGGCTGGGTCGAAGGGGCTACCCATGTGGTTTACATCGACTTGGACATTTCCTAGTGAGATGTTAGGGTTAGTTGTTGTTAGGAACATGTTATGGTGTAGGGTGGCATTAGGGTCATTGTTAGGGCTTGAAGGGTTGTAGCAGAGTTGAAGTTGTGTAAATTGACGGTTTCTTCTTGGGTATCTTTGGGGAAGGGGTATGGGTATAAAATTAGGGCTTCAGGGCTTCGCATTTGCCATAGAAGTCTGAACCCTAATATGGCTGCATTAGAGCTTACCTGTAAGAATACTCCCCCATCCACCATCGGACCATTGCTCATAGGCATCAACCAGAGCGTTTGTCGGCTGGTTGGTTTTGGCGATCATCTCAGCCATTGCGGCCTGAAAGGGCGTCAGTTCAATTCGTGCATAGCCATTAGGCGTGTACAATGTATGTGATTCAAGTTTGTACCTTGCTTAGCCTGTTCGGCAAAACCAGTCCACATGGGAGCTTGACAGGGTCTGCGAGGGGAGATGGCATGGCGTATGTGCTGTCAATGTATGCCGTATAAAGTATACAGTTCTAATTCATATATCAAAGTCCAATATAAAGGAAATTTAGCCTCCTTAGTCATCTATCTTGCGGAGAGATTAGTCTCCCCGTGTGTGTGGAGTCTGCCCAGATGGGAAGTTCCCGAGGTCCACGCTGAGGAATTGTGGATTTGGACGGGGACTTGGATTCATCCGGCGGATTTTACTTATTTGATCATAGAAAGACGTGGGCTCTAAACGGGTAAATTATGATAAATGTAAATAATTTAATTTTGTTCAGTCATATGGCAACAGCTAAATGCTAACTATCCCCAAGATGCAAAATCGCAAAAGTCAAAAAAACCAAAGAAAATAAATGCTGGGTATTCAATCAGGAAAAAAGAAGTTCGTGTCAACCCAAAAATAGGTCGAGCAAAGAAAAAAAATAACAAGTGCGCTTGAAACCAATGGGGGAAATATGAAAAATCAAAAGTGACGTGCGAGTCCATCACGCAGACATCTTAAGCACTAACAGATCAAAACAGATGCTTTTTCCTGCGAAATGCAGTATGAACAGCTGAGCCGACGAGAAGAAAACCTTACAGCTTGGCATTCTTCTCTTCAGTTGGGGAGCCATTCACAGTAACAGGGGGTGAGATTGTTCCCAGACTGGAGAGGAGGTGACCGACCTCCCGCTCGAGAGCGCGGACCTCAGTATGAGGGTCATACATGCGGGACTTGATCCAGTTGTCCAGCTCGATGTCGCTCATAGAGCGGAGCGCAATCTCACGGTCCACCTTATCCTCCTGGGCAGCGCGCATCACCTTACGGGTGACAACGATGCTGACCTCGCGGATGCGGGTGATATCGGGGTAGAGCAGGCCACGCTCGAGCTCCTCGCCAGTAAGGGCACTAGAGAGGGCATCGGCAGAGGCGTAGATCATGCTGTCTGTGATGCGGACGGCCTTGGACAGGATGCTGCCGAGGCCGATACCGGGGAACACGTACATGTTGTTTCCCTGGCCGGGGTAGTAGGTGCGGGTTTCGCCAGCGGAGTTGGTGAAGGTGCAGTTGGGGAAGGGGGAACCGGAGGCGAAGAGGCAGCGGCCGTCGGTGTTGGCGATGGCGGTCTCGAAGTCACACTCTGACTTGGAAGAGGGGTTGGAGAGGGGGAAGATGAGAGGAGCGGTGTTCCAGTCAGCCATCTTGCGCAGGATCTCTGGGGTGAAGACGCCACCCATGGTGGAGAGACCCATCAGGATGGAGGGCTTGACATAGTCAACGACCTCTTCGAGAGTCTTGTACTGCTCGGCGTTGTTGTCACGGCGGGCGAAGTAGACCTTGTGGTCGGCAAGCTTATCGCCGCGGTCAGCGGTGACAAGACCCTTGGTGTCGACGAGGTAGAAGCAGTTGCGGGCTTCATCCTCGGTCATGCCTTCGCGCATGAAGAACTCAACGATCTGGCGGGCGACGCCGACACCGGCGCTGCCGGCACCGAAGAACACAGCACGGTGATCCTTGCAGGGCAAACCGGAGCGCTTGACAGCGTTGATGACACCGCCAAGGATGACAGCGCCAGTACCCTGGATGTCATCATTGAAGCAGGTGTAGTGATCCCGATACCGCTCAAGAGCAGGGAAGGGATTCTTGAAATCCTCGAATTGGATGACGATACTAGAGAAGCTTTGTTAGTCACGGTTGCGATAAGATCACCCGAAATGCATGTGAGAATGAGTCACTTACCCAGGCCAGCGCTCGGTAAGAGCACCCATCAGCTCGTCCAAGAACTCCCGCTCCTCCTCGGGGGAGACCTTCTCGCGACGACTACCCATGTACAACGGGTCTTCTCGGAGGGCCTTGTTACCAGTGCCGAGATCAAGAGTCAGAGGCAGGGTGGCCTCGGGACGAATACCCGCACAGGCGGTGTAAAGCGCTAACTTTCCAATGGGGATACCCATACCGTTGATGCCCAGATCACCCAGCCCGAGGATGCGGGACCCATCGGTGATACATGTGATCTCGACGTTTTGCTCGGGCCAATTGGAGATGACCGAGGCCAGATTCCCGCGATCTTCCCAACTCAGGTACATACCTAAAGAAAAACGGTTAGCGTCTCCGATTCTAATTCGTGTGCGGAGAATGTGCCAATTGCGGAGAAGATCTCAGTCACTACGTACCTTCGGGCTGCTGGTAGATCTCGGACCACCTTTGGCAGGCCTCGCCCACGACCGGGGTATAGATCAGGGGAGTCATTTCCTACAGGGATAATTATGGTTAATTTTCGTTATCCCCAAGATTTCCCGGTCCAATCACATGTCTCGGAGCTCAACGTACCCTGAGGTGGTCTGTCACCAAACGGTAGAACAAGTGGACATTGTTCTTGCGGAGAGTGCTAAGGTATAGGAATTTGTCGATGGCAGTGTTCTTCAGACCAAGCTGCGCCAGGCATCGGGTCTTTTGTGTCTCGTATCCCTCGGCGCGAGGAGGAGTGAGTCCGTAGGTGCGCAGGTATTTGCGGATGTATGCAGGGTTGGCGGTATCATAGTTGGCGTCACTTAACGAGAAGAATTAGCATAAGCCTTTAGGTGAGCCCAGGTAGTTGACTTACGCAGGTGAGGCGTGGTTCACATGAGGAGCTGGGGTGGCATGCACCGGCCGGCTGTGTTGAGTAGGTAGCGAAGGGTATCGAGCCATTGTGATAGTAGGTTTGAAGTTTGTAGTAGAATGATAGAAAGAAAAAGATCTGGGTGCAGACGTGAGTCTGTTTTTATGTACACGAGACCACATATTAAATTTCCCCTGTGTCAAAGACATTCCGACAGGAGTTAACCAGATAATTAACCGGGACCGCGTGTCGAGGCAACACGGTATAGTTCAAAAAAAGAGTCATGAAGATAATCGGGAAGAGTCGGACTCTTGGAGAGGGTCATGACCCATGTGGATTCATTTTCGGTGTTGACAGCGAACCGTTGTGCATGAAAGCCTTTCTGGAATCTGGATCACTCCAAAAGCTTTTTTTTTCTTTTTCTTTTTTTTTTGTTCGGGAAGTAGATCCAGCAAGGAGTGGAGACGGGGAGGCGCCGACTCCGACAAATGCGGAGATATAGTCAAATCAAATGTTTGAATATTGAAATAAAATATGAATTGAGACATATACATGCGCGATTTAATCCTCATTCCAGCATTACGCAGGGAGCAATGTATTACATCTATGAAGATAATGTTGGGAAGATCCAAAATTGAAATTTGGAGTTCGAAATCTCCAGTTTACACGGTAGACCTTGAACTGGTGATGACAACTACCAAGTAGAATTGTGAATAAATAAATATTATCATCTGATTGGTTAGAAAAGCCGGGGAGGAAAACGCCATGAAGTTTACACTAATCCTTTTTAGTTCTTAGACTCCACTCAAATCCACAGCTACGAGCTCCCAGAGCCGCAGATAGTGCCGAAGTGGAGTCAAGCTATACCCTAATTAATGTCTATTCGGTGTTTCAATTTTTTATTTTTTTTCCTTTGGTTTTTGTTTTATTTTGTATTTTTGATTTTTATCAGTTTAGCTTCTTTTTTTTTAAAAAAAAAGGTTTCTAGAATAAATTTAGAAAACATGTAGGTAGAATCATACAATATACCAAATGATCATATGTTGTGATAATCCAAACTACTATGTATAGTACTGAGTATAAGAAAATGATCTCAGCTCCGAATTGAATCTCGGTGAGTCTTTTAGGTCTTTGTTTCGAGTCCGCCGCGTTGGAGATATTCGGCCTTATGAATGGCTCTCAGTCGCCGACAGGCTCAGGGATTTTTGATTACCTATATTCTCCAGCACGGTTGCGTTATTTTTTTTTTTCGCCCCTTCAAATTATTTCAATTGTAAGGTCTGGAACTACACTGAGCTTCGAAATAATTCGGGGCATTATTCGGAATCTAGGGATTTTCATCACCGATTGGCCCCTTGAGGAACCTCTGTGTAAGGCGCAAAGCTTCTATTAATAATTTTATCCCCCCTATGCTCTGCTCTACTGCGTATAATCTCCGAACTCAGAGTATTTTATTACCCTGCAGTTCCCAACGTTGGGACAGGCTTGGCCAGTTCCCGTACGGAGTGCTCCGTACTCCGTACTCCGTCTAACATAGAATGTATGTGAAGCTGGACATGCGCATATTGGATATATCATTCCCAACATGAGGCATATATGTACAATGTACATTTTGCTTTGCTTTTCGTCTCCTTTCTACTCCGTACTGCAGATCACGATCTCCCTGTAATTACATAAATCGAGGAAGTACCACATACAGCAGAGCAAACACTGAAAGCCGATATATTCCGGAATTGGAACAGGGTTAAATGGCGGCTAAATAGTCCGTAGCTTTCCCCAGATCGCATCCACCGAGGATCGATTATTTACATAATAGCTTCAATTTATTTACGGAGCTCTATTAGAGCTTCATGTCTCTTAATAATTTATTTTAGTTAAATGATCAGGATCATATTCAAGGAATATTCTTGATTTACATAGCAAACATAGTCAACAAACATTTATGTTGCACTGTACGATTTGATGTGTCGTCATGTGCCTAAAAACAGGTTCTCGATCCCTCCCTACATACCGTAGAACTTCAACCTTTAGCTTCATCAACCCTTACTATCAACTCACACAGCCCAGGGCCCATTCAAGATGCCCTCTGAGACTGAACCCCTCCTCCCTCGCTATGAGGATGACACCTCCCGTCAGCGACGTCTCCACCAAAAGCTACATAGCTACCAGATGGTCCGTGCCATTTCTGAGGGATACATGCCAACAACCGAACAAACCATCGCCAACCTCCGCACTCTTCTAGCCTCTGACGTCCTCAACCTGCGTAATCAAGACATCGGCAGCGTCGGTCGTCAGCTAGTGCGGGACAGTCGATTGTGGATCCAGGTCTTCATCGAATTTTTGCAGAAGAACAGCCAAGACCAGCTCCAGGAGTTTCTGTGGCGCCTGGCCCGTTCACGCGTCGA